GCGGACTGAGTGACACCCCCCCCCCCCCCCCCCCCACGAGACTGTAGATGGCTCACTGAAATCCACAGGCAAAACACTCCGTCTGCACCGAACGGAGAAACTTTAAACTCCCTGCACGGGACTTGGCAGATGTCAGTGGCGCTCAGGGCAGGTTTGAATGCAACTTGCAAATTGAGACCTGTCAGACTAAGGTCTCCCCTAGTACATTACAATTCTTTCCCCCACCCCCTACGCGTTTTGTACAGGACTCCCACGTTGTCTTCGCGTTTAAATCCAGCATCCTTTATGCTCTAGGTGAAATCTCTCTCCCCACATCCATAGACTGAAGAGCAACCAACCCCCCAGGCGCTGAAGGCACCACGATGGGGAGTGCTGCGTGTATTTCCTTACAGGAGGAAACCTCCGCTGACTGCATTGCCACTTGGAAGATGAATAGCTGGACAAAGTTGGGTTTTTTTTCTTTTCCGGTCGCCTGGATCAGCTGTCCCCGCCTCCTTTCTCTCTCTCTCCCCCTCCCACCCAAACCCCTAGTCTGGAGCTTGTATGGTACGTTCCGCACGTGAGCTGGGTGCTGGTCTGGCTGGCGACGCGCGTGCCCTGTGGCCAAACACTGATCAGTGAGTGCAAACTACCAGCACAGTGTGTGACTGTGAGTGCATGAGTGGGAGAGAGAGAGAGACAAGGAGAGGGGAGACAAACTGCTTCACACTTTCCCCGGTGCACACAAGAGACAGCGGCTGCATGTGCACAGTTTTGCTCAAAGATCTCCAAAGACTCTCAGCATCCCACAGATTCAATCAAAAGCAACAACAAAAAATCAGCTGTTGTCAAACATGGATGAAGGAATCCCTCGTTTGCCAGACAGGCAGTTGCTAGAACATGTGGATTTTATAGGGTAAGGAGCCAGTGCAATCTCTCTCTGTCTCTTCTCACTACAGTGTTTCGTTGCTTCTTCAGAAGTGATCTAAAGATGTGAAAAGCTAGATCGTTCTTAAATGCTGTCTGATTCTTGCTTCTTTTTTGCAGTAAGGGACAATCTTTGGAGCTATGCAATATTATAGACATTTCTTACTATATGTTTTTTCTCTTTCTGTATGTATATATTTCCACTTATGAACGTGGTAGGTAGCTTATTTACATACTACATTGAATCTTTTTTTCATTTTTGCAGACTGGACTATCCATCCTTGTATTTGTGCAAACCCAAAAGAGGCATGAAAAGAGATGAGAGTAAGGTAAGAATAAGTTTCTGAAGCTCTTCCTGACCTACCTTGGGGTTCAGTGATTTTTATAGCATAGCTTTACCCATGAACCGCATCTGAGTTTCTTCCTTTTTAACTTCCCCTGAATTATAAATGTGTCTACAGGATAACAAGGGAAGGCTATAGGTGCCTTGCAATTTGCACTACCATGTGGACATTTGTGTTTGGATTGTCATATTACCTGAATGTAACATTTGACTTTTCCTCATTTTGCTAATTAGGAAACATACAAACTGCCACATAGACTGATAGAAAAGAAGAGGCGAGACAGGATAAATGAATGCATTGCTCAGCTAAAAGATTTATTGCCTGAGCATCTGAAATTGACGGTAAGATATATATACTTTATTGTCTGCAGCATTATACAATATGTTTCTTGTGATGATCTAAAAATTTAGAGACAGGTGCGTGCAGCTAAAAGAATGTGACTTGCGTTGGATGCTAAAGGTTTTCTACAGAGTCTATGTGACTGAGTTTAAGGTAGCAACCTGCTTTTATGTGTTTATGTAAAAACAGATTCTTTAAATATAACACCCTTTTCAAAGGGAGTTGGCTTAAGTTATAGACACAGAATATAATGGTCAAGTGTATTGTGTTAGTAACCAAGTGTTCCTTTCCCCCCTACTTTTCAGACTCTGGGGCATCTGGAGAAAGCTGTAGTTTTGGAATTAACTTTGAAACACTTAAAAGCTTTAACAGCCTTAACGGAGCAACAGCATCAGAATATAATTGCTTTACAGAATGGTAAGTCAATTTCAGAAGATGCCAGCACATAAACACACTCAGGAGACATGGTTGTTAAATTGGAGATCTCATAATACTATAATTCATAGGGGCGAACCTTTGATTCTCCCCCCCCCCCTTGAAAGGAATATAATGTGTTTATTGTATTATCTGGCCAAATGCTGACCTCCACTGAGATGTCACCAGCCAAATTACCATATTAACTCCCTGCAAATATGGGCATTTCTGTCGCAGGAGGAAAAGTAGCCTGGATTGAAAGGCTTTCATCAAAAGATCACTGAAGTTACCTTTGTTTTGAATGAAAAGGAGAAGCCAAATAGCAGGCACTCCCAGACCGGTGTTCGCAGATGTATTTAAGTTGACTTTTCTTTGCCTTCCCCTTCCCATATTCTCCACCACAGGGGAGCGGGCTATGAAGTCCCCCATTCAGTGCGACCTGGATGCTTTCCATTCGGGATTTCAAACGTGCGCCAAAGAAGTCTTGCAGTACCTCTCCCGGTTTGAAAGTTGGACTCCCAGGGAGCAGAGATGCGCCCAGCTCGTGAACCATCTGCACGCGGTTTCCACTCAGTTCTTACCCAGCCCCCAGCTGTTGACTCCACAGGTCCCCGCGAGCAAAGGATCCTCCTCCTCCTCTTGTGCACAGGATCGCACCGGGCAAAAGCTGGAGGCTCAGACTAACTGCGTGCCCGTCATCCAGCGGACTCACCCGCCGGCCGAGCTGAGCGGGGAGAATGACACCGACACAGACAGCGGCTACGGAGGGGAGAGCGAGGGCAGGCCGGATCGAGAGAAGGGCCAAGCCGCGAGGCTGCCCAGCCTGACTATCAAACAGGAGCCTGCCGGGGACGAGGCCCCAGCGCCCAAAAGGCTGAAGCTGGATTGCACCAGCAGCAGCAGCAGCAGCAATAGCCACAGCGCCCCCCTCCCTTCCGCCGCCGCGCTCAGCCCGGACCCGGCCGCGGCTGCCCTGCTGAGACCCGACGCCGCCCTGCTCAGCTCCCTCCTGGCCTTTGGAGGAGGCGGGGCCGGGGCTCCCTTTGGCCAGCAAGCCGCGGCCCCGCTTTGCCTGCCCTTCTACTTCCTCTCCCCCTCCGCGGCCGCCGCCTACATGCAGCCCTTGCTGGACAAGAGCAACCTGGAGAAATATCTCTACCCGGCCGCCGCCCCCATCCCTTTGCTCTACCCCGGAATCCCCGCCCAGGCCGCCGCTGCCTTCCCCTGCCTCTCCTCGGTGCTGGCGTCAGCTGAGAAGGCGAACGCGGCAGCCGCCGCCTCGGCCCTCCTGCCTCTCGACGTGGTCTCGCCTTCCCCGCACCTGCCCCATCCCTTCGCCGCTGCTTGCGAGACAGGCACCAGCGTGGGGGACAGTGACCTTCGCTCCCCGGAAGATCTTTTGCAGTCCGGAAAGGAAAGCCCCTGAACTGGGCCACAGGTCCCCAGGGTTCAGCCCATCCCTGCTCCCGAGTAGGGAGGAAGACGGATTCCCCACCCTACTCAATCATAACAGCAACCATAAGAATCAACCTGCCCACCCACCCGCCACTTTGTGGTCTCACAGGAGAACGCGTGAATCGATTCGCACGCTGTTTCCGTTGTTGGTGTTTCATTTCTTTGGGGTTCTCTCCTGCTGCTGCTCCTTCCCCTTCCCTTACTCTGCTGTAAAAGATCCTTTGCATTTCTGTGTTACATAGAGAATCACTCACTGTCTCCACATTTACCGAAAGGGAGCAAATAGAAACAGGCTGAACGGTCAGGTTCAGTTTCCGATCCAAAGTCTCAGTGACATCTGAAAGTGGGTAGGCAAAAAAGTTGCCATGGGAGCCGCAGACGATATCTGTGGACACTCTAGAAATGTGTATTATTAATAATATATAAAAGCAGCTAAAGATCACACGGTATCTGACTCAAAGTGGGGCTGGGGTCCTTAACTCTAGCAGCTGCTGCCACTGCTTAAGAATCTTTAAGGATTAAATTTGCTACTCAGTATTTTTTTTTATGTTTGGCTTTATAAATGCATAAATATGTTAGAAAAGAAAAAAAGAGTAAGGATTGTTTTTCTCTAAAGTAACTTAAATGTTGCACCTTATTTTGAAAAGGTTTTTTGTAGTATCTCTATGTTCCACTTAGTAATTTGCACTTGTTTAAAGATTGGTTCGTTGTCAAAATGGGGGAGGGGCAGATAGAGAAGATGAGAAGAATTTTTAAATATATACATTCGCACTTTATTGACAAATGGACCATGAATGAATTGATCTTGAGCCCAGTTCTTCAGTGCTTTGAGTACCCAGAGTTGCTACTGGCTTCAGTCAGAGTTTTGGATGCGCAAGGAGTAGAAGATCAGGCCCATGCTATAATGTCTTATTAGCTAAGATATACAGAGGTATGGCAAGTGCATTTGTTTCCACCTTGTCCTTATTTAATTTCAATATTTTCCTGAGTTTTTATAACCTTGCTTTATAAAATGAATGTTTCTGCACTGAACTATAAACAAAACAAAAAACTGACAACCCTAAACTAATTTTATCCCAAATTAAAAACTAGAGGAAATTATTAAACGTGTCAGTTTTTAATTAGAAATGCTTATAAAATATGGGATAAGGACCCATGCAGTCCTTCTGTCTCCAAATTTTGTGATTTCCCTTTCTGGAGACTGTACAGATGCCAGATAATCACACAGACAAAGCTTTTTAATAAGGCTTAAAACAAGACCTTGCCTAGATATTTTTAGTTTGTTGCCAAGGTAGCACTGTGAGAAATCTCACTTGAATGTTATGTAAGAGGTGAGACACAACTGTCTGACTCTGAGTGAATAAGTATCCTGGGTCTGTTAGTCAGTTTGGTTGCATTTGCTGCTGCTGTTGCTACTGTTTGCCTCAAACGCTGTGTTTAAACAACGTTACAAAAAATCTTACTAGCCTGCAGAATGGCTGTATGTAAATAGTTGTTAATACATCCAATTAATGATGTCTGACATGCTATTTTTGTAGGGAGAAAATGTGTTAATGATATTTTGAGTTAAATATCTTTTGGGGAGGATTTGCTGAAAAAAAGTTGCACTTTTGTTACAATGCTTATGCTTGGTACAAGCTTATGCTGTCTTAAATTATTTAAAAAAATAAATACTGTCCGCAAGAAAACAGCTGTTTTAGAACAGTTTAGTATGTGATATTAGAAATCAATCTTTATATACTCAGTATTTTCCAGCACTCCACAAATTCTATTATCTAAATATTTACACACTATTTTGTGAATTACAAAACTCTTACTAAGGAATAAAAGCTTTAATACACAACAAGGGGTTGTCTAATAATTAAAAATCCTACATTAATACATCATGATGGATGCATAGCAAATCTTAAAAATGTCTAATTGTGTGAATATAGATAGCAATTTGTGTTCACATTTTAAAGATGGTTTTGCATGTTTGCTTTGAGTTTAATGCATTGTATTTTATAGTATATACATTACACAAAACACTGCAAAAAGCATGCACACATCTAATTATGTTTTAAATTGGTCTATACTTTTCGCAGTACAGTCATTCTACATTACATGATAAAATGTAACAATTCACGCTACAGATACTGTACATATTTAGTAACTGCCCACACTTATCAGACTATCAGATTTTTATGTCAGGTTGATGGCATTACTTTAATGAAAGTTGGGGAAAGCGATGCATATCTGAACTAGAAATGCTGTAAACCCCGCTCCCTGCCCCAGCTTTATAGGGAAACAATCAAGTAATTTACACTATGGGAAAATGTTCCTCTAAAGACTAACAGTTTTAATATAGATGAGATTTGGGGCTTTTTTCCTTTAAAAATTTCATCATCTTGTTCCTGAGAAAATAATTTAAACAAAAAGGAGGGAGAGTTTATGTAAGATATAAATATATAAACAATGTTGTGTGCTCCCTCTACTGGTTCTTTAGTATCAATTAACAATCAACATGTTTTCATAACTACACTGGAGTAACTACATTGGATCAAGCTGGAGTACAAATGTAGCATATTTTAAAAAAAAGGGAGCCCTGTTAATTTCAATCAGCCTTAGAAATACAAGATAAAGAATTCTGTAAATAACATCTTTTTACAGAACAACTCAGATGGCATTACAGGCAAATAAGTCTACCTATAGACAGCTAGATGAATCTATGCATAATATTAAATTATATATACACATTCATAGAATCATAGAGCTGGAAGAGACCTCAGGAGGTCATAAAATCCAACCCCCTGCCCAAAGCAGGACCAACTCCATCTAAATCATTCCAGCCAGGGCTTTGTCAAACCAGGACTTAAAAACTTCTAGGGATGGAGATTCTACCACCTCCCTAAGTAACCCATTCCAGGGCTTCACCACCCTCCTAGTGAAATAGTTTTTCCTAATACTCAACCTAGACCTCCCCCATTGCAACTGTAATATTTATTTCTTGTAATATCTTCTGATACTTTATGATAAATTATTAATAATGGACTAGATCAGTGTTTCTCAACCTTTTTTTTTTTATAAAGTATCCCCTTTTCCAATATATATACACACAAGTAATCCCCAGTACCTACAGTTTTCAGACACATTTTTTTTCTACCATTGCAACACATTTGTTTAAACAACTTAATCGTAGCCGGGCGGGTGATGAAATTTGAGGGTGTAAAATGTACAAAAATAATAAAATGCGGAAAAACTTAAAACAAAAATTCAGTTTTCTCCAAATTTCAGTTGTGTTGACATACCCCACCCCCAAGACTTCTCTCAAGTACCCCTAAGGGTACTTGTACCACTGGTTGAGAAACACTGGACCAGATCATGCAACAATTTACAAGTAATTATATTGACAAATAGTTATTCATGGGTTTGAACCAGATCCCATTGATTTCAGTGGTGTTTGCATCAGGCTCTGTGCCTGGGATTTCAATAGACTCAAAGAAGTAAAATTCAATTAGGCTTTCATTACACAAAAAAATGCCCCAACCTGTTTCAGTAGATGGGTGGAGTCTGATAGGGTTTGTGGTGAAAAGGAACTACCCCAACAATAAGGGAGGGAGTCTGGTATTCTGGCCAGACGAAGAGAGGGTGCTAATTGGCCAACATATATCAAAATTCTGTGATTGAACCTGGAATGGGGCCCATATAGAATCCCTTTCAGCTCCCTTCCAGCAGCCCCATGCTATCCACCCTGAAGTAGCAATGGGCATCTGGCCTGACAGATACGTAGATCTAGCAAATCATCCATTTGGGGGTTAGGCAGATCTTTTTCTTCCAGTGGACTAGAGAACTTTTCACCTTGCTCACAGTACCCTTGAACCACAGTGGGGTAAGTAGGAATGCACTTAGTACCTAACCGAGGTAGTGGAGGTTGGGTTCTTAAATCTCCAGTGTTCTAAAGAGGATAAATGAACAGTTCCCAGGGGCAAAAGATGTGGGATTTTGGTGATGGGCCTTGGACTCATGGGGCAGCGTTGAGACCTTGTGGGCCTTGGAGGCTGAGGTCTCAACCATTCTCTATCCTTTGTCCCCCTCACAGGGCAGAGAATGTTAGGACTCAGAAAGCTGAGGGGAACCTACCCTGAGCTATGGGTTATCTGGTAGGAGCCTTGTAAAAATGCCTCCCTCCCCTCACCGGAGCCAGTTAAATGCCAAGTGTGGGTGATGGATGAGTAGCACCTCCATCTATGTTAAAGCTGAATAAAAGTTGTGGCCTGCCACTTAATTCCATGCATGTTTCTGTCCTTGTTTCATCACTTTGTCCACATCAAGTGGCACTTCTTTAACTATAATAGTATAAACCTCACCACCGCCCCTTCCCCTTTTTATGGATGCAGTTGGGTGGATCAGCATAAATGTGCTTATAATGATGTAAGTAATTTCCCATACAGGAAAGCTCATAAATTATACAGGCCTAAGGCACCTTTCTATCAGTATAACTATATTGTACTGATGTCAGTGTGTTGGCCAAAAACAAAACAAAAAACATTAAAAAAAACCCACAACAACACGCCCTTAATTGACACAGTATCAGAGGAGTAGCCGTGTTAGTCTGAATCTGCAAAAGCGACGAGGAGTCCTGTGGCACCTTATAGACTAACTGAAGTGTAGGAGCATAAGCTTTCGTGGGCAAAGACCCACTTCGTCAGATGCATGCATCTGACGAAGTGGGTCTTTGCCCACGAAAGCTTATGCTCCTACACTTCAGTTAGTCTATAAGGTGCCACAGGACTCCTCGTCGCTTTAATTGACATAGTTACCAGTATAAAATGTGTGATGATCAGGCTTATGGCCTCTTTTAAAATCCTATCCTCTATGAATAGGGGTTACAGGTTGGTATTAATATCACTTTAGCCTTCATTGGATTGTAATTCTATCCCAACATGCTTAGTTTTATGTTTCAATATTCACAGGTACAGAAAAAGGAATATTTTTTATTAGTCATTGCCTAAAATAAGTCAAAGTTCATGTCCAGTTATATCTTCAAGATATCCTCTTTAATGCTGTTGCATAAACAAAATTTAGAGATTAAAATATGAATAGGTCAGTTTTTTTTTTTTTTACAAGGTAAAAAAGTTCATAGCTAAAACTGATAATGTGTTGTTGTAGGGGGCAAAAAATTACTGGTGGAAGGAAAGCTAAGAGTTTTAATTATGAAATTTCTGGCTTCTATCAATTCCATGCCTTAGCTTTATTTGAATAAATTGTTTCCACATTTTCTTACAGTGAAAAATAAAATAGATGTGAAACTGATATTTTAAAAGAAAATTATATTTGTTCTTGTGCAAATGCATATTTAGACATTATTCAAGTATGTGTTTGCTGCCTGATTTTTTATTTTAGTATAATTTGTGGGACCACTTCTGTATTTCCTGACTTTTAGAATGCAGGACTGGGCTTTATATTTTTATATATACTTTGCTACATAATGTATTTCTCAGACTATAATATATAGGCAAATGTATTCTCTTATATAACAAACTGTAAAACAGGTATTATTTATCCAGTATATCATGGTGGCATGAAAGGTCCCTCAAACAAGGGGAAAAGACTCATAATATTGCAGACCAAACAGGATTAACAAGTATCTCCTGCAGGTTAAAAGAAAGCAGAAAACCTACAAAGGCTGGAAGAAAGTAAATCCGCAAGGAAAGCTACCTCTTAGAGGTAACAAGGTGTAGGGGAAAAGTGAGAATTGCCAAAAGCAAAGCAGAGCTGGACTTTGCAAAAGAAATTAAAACCAACAGTAAAAGACACTTTAGCTATGTAAATAAATAAATGGAAAGAAGAAGTGGGACTCCTAAGCAGTAAGGACAGGCGCAGATTAAAGATAATTAAGCAAGGTTTATGGGTAAGGGTAGGGTGGCTAATAGGAACAAGGATGTGGAAGTAGAAATTACCATATCCAAACTGGAAATCAAACTTAATGAGATTAAAATGGGAGGCCCAGGTCATCTCCATCCAAGAATATTAAAGGAACTGGCATATGAAATTGCAAGGATTTTTAATGAAACCCATAAACTCTTGGGTTACATCCTCTGACTGAAGAATCACAAAATATAGCACAGGTTGCACCTCTAAAATCCAGGATTCTCTGGTCTGGCAACATCCATGGTCTAGCATGACCACAGATGTTCCAGGATCAGAGAGTCTTGACACACTGTAGGGGGGTGGGGGTCCGGGAGCCAGCACATGGCTCAGCTGGGCTTCAAGGTGGGAGGGCAGGGTGCTGGTGTGTGATTCAGCTGGGCTGTGGGAACTAGAGCACTGCTCTGTTGGGCTGGGGAGGGGCCAGGAGCTGGAGTATGAGCCAGGAAGCCTGGTGCGGGGAGGCCAGAAAGGGGGACTGGTAGCAGGGGACCGGAAATGACCTGGTCTGGAAAATCCCTTATCCGGGACCAGTCAGGTCCCAAGGGTGCCGTATTAGGGAGGTCTAACCTGTACCTTTATTCAAGAAAGGAGAAGTAATCAGAAAAACTAGAGACCTATTAGTTTGACCTCAGTTATATGCAAAATCTTAGAAGAAGCCTTCAAAGAATAGTTAAAGACAGAGGAAAAGGGTAATAGAGATAAGATACAGTATGATTTTACAAAGGCTAGATTGTGCCATACCAACCTGATCTCTTCCTTCGGGAAGATAACTATTATTTCCAACAAAAGAAATGGTGATCTAGTCTGATTTTCAGTAAATATTGCCGTATCAGTAAAGAGCCTAGAAGTTGAAAAAAAGATAGCTTCTTCTTGATCCTACAGATGTCTGTTCAGGTAATAATAAAAACAGATTGGCTGCGGGTGCCATATGACTCACTGTACCTGTTTTGAGGATAC